ACAAAGTCAATTTTGCTTCAAAATAATTCTTGGAAATACAACAAGAAATTGTTGGTTTTTTCTCTTATGCAGCAAGCTCAACTTGCTATTTGTTTTTTGCTGTGTTTTGCTTTTAAGAAGAGTGTCGGAAACATTTAAATGATCGTCAAGCGAGGCTCATAAATGGAGTTCTGTGTTGTTATTGTTGCGAACTGCGTACGAAATGGTAAACACAAAACAGTAGACAAAACTAAGCTCCAATCCTTTGTGGGGATGCAAGGAAAGGAGGAACCCTGCTGGCAAGCATGCATGCCACATGCAACATGCAACAGTAGCGACCAGTCGATGGGTAAACGGGCCAGGTTTCATGTTGTGTTCCTACTACCAACTCCTCTCTCTCTCTTTCACTCTCTCTCTCTCTCTCACCCTTTCTGTCTCTGTCTCTGTTTGAATCTGTTGCATCTGCATCTTCGCGGCATCTCAGCGCATGTCATGTCTCGTATCTTTTGTGCTAATCGTAAATAACTGTCGAAATTTTTTGCTACTGTATGAGATTTGAGTAGGCTGGCAAGGAGTTGGCCAAGTTGCTTTCGGGATGCTGGCCAGACACCATTATTGTTGTTGTTGGCTTGGAACTGGCCACTGGTGAAGAGGAGGATGTGGGGGGGAGGGGTTGGGGTAAGAGAACTGGTATCTGGTAACTGAAAACTGGCGACTGTTCAGCAGACCTCTTTTATGTGCGCACCTTAAAAAAAGACGGAAAACAACAACAACAAGATACTTAACTTTTTGCACCGTGAACGGGCACACTTATTGCCACGCACACACACACACACACACACACACAGAGAGAGAAGCAATCACATGAATCAAGAACCAGAAACCGGAGTTGAAGCTGCGACTCTGTGGCTGAAGTTGAAGTTGAAGTTGGGCCTGACACTGAGTAGCGAGAGCTGAGTGAAAAACATGTTTGGTTTTAATTCTTTTTATTTCAATTCTCTTCTTTTTTTGTACCTTTTGACTACCCTGTAGCCATTGGGATCGAGTGTGCAGCATATCAGCAATAGAATATATATCAGTTAAGTTAAGCAACAAAAGTAGAAAACTTTAAAACTTAATTTGATATATTTTTTGATTTACTATATTATTGATAATTGTATATACATTTATATAATCCTTAAATACAGTTTTACAAAAGAATTATGATTTCAAATTTTAAATTTTTCAAAAATACAATTTATTTATGTATTTAATTATTATTAAATTTAATAAATTTATGAATAAGAAATATTTATTATTTATTATAATTTATTTTCAAACAGATTAAGTGGTATCCTGTAGTCGGTTACTTATGTGCAGAGTATTCTGACTTGTTTATTATTATTTTATATTTATTTTTTTCTCTTTTTAACCGTCGACGTGCGTTTTTTATGCTTTGCTTTCTTTGCGTTTTGGACATGTATCTGAAAGATACTTTTTTCTTTACGTTGTTGTTGTTGCTGCTGCTGTGTGTTGTGTGTGTTTGCCGTGCTTGATGACGCTGACAAAGGTCTGTCCGCCCCAGCCTCAGCCACAGATGGCAGGCAGCCAAGGCAGACCCCAGCAGCGACCCCAACCGTAGCCATACGCGATTTTAATGAAGCACTTAAAAAGCATAAATGAAAATAAAAACCCAACAAAGGCAACACAGCAGAGAGTGGGAGAGAGGGAGACACAGAGAGAGAGAGAGAGATAGGGAGGTAGCCATCTCATCTCACTCCCACAGCCACTCTGCACACACACACACACACACACGTACCCAGCCCAGTGCCAAGCTTCAAGCCCATCTTCACAACGACAATTGATGTGGAGCCTGTGCCCCATCTGTCTGTGGGTCTGTCTATCTGTCCGCCTGTCGTAACCCAGCTGCCCGTTCAGCCTCGGCTACATTAGGTTTATGTTTTTTTCTCTCTTCTACTACTGCATCTTCTTCTTTTACTGTCCGAGTTTTGCCTATGTGCAGAGTAAAAGTATCTTGTGGAAGCGCCTCGAAATTAATTCTAATCTAGCAAATTACGTTTGGAGTAGGAGGCGGCAGAGGGGTGGGGTGGGGTTCGTAGCGGAGGCACTCAGGACCATTTATGCAGCCATAAAAATTAAAGACACCGCTTCCAGATAAATGCGTGTGCGTTCACACACACACACACTCACACACACACAGAGATCTCGCAGATACACAGATAACACAAATACTAAAACAGTAGCCAATAAAACGACGACAATCATTAAAAGCATTAACAACAGCATTAGAAATGCAGAGCGGACAGCGGTGTGCAGAGGAACTGGAATCGAAATTGAAATTTGGAATTGGAGTGGAATCAGTTGGGTGAACCAGTGCCATGACATTGAATAATTGATGAAGAAGCTGTTCGTTGCCACGATAATCAATGCGTGATCTCAGTGTGAACAAGGCAAATACACACATACATATACATATATATATACATATATGTGATAAGTCCAATTCATGGCTATTTATGCCCGGCAACGTCAACGAATCATGTCGTAAAGCAATAAAAGACAATTTCCCTTATCTTTACGATTGCCAATAAGAACGTGATAAAAGATTTTGAGCTCTTAATCTTATTAAAGTTCATTTTTATGAAAAACATGAAGACTGATTTTGTGACCTTAATGTTGGAACGATCCTTGACTATTTATAAAAATTACATATATTCACTTTTTATATATGTATATCATATTATTTTAAAATTATGCAGCTTAACAAAGTTTTCAAATTGCTTTTCTACTATATTTGTTTTTTGTTTTTCTTTAATGGTTCTTCTGGTTTCTGTTTTGCGAAGAGGAAGAGCAAGAAGTGCACAGTGCAAAAAACCGAGGCAGCTCGTATTAGAATGCTTAAACGTTGGGACATTTTCTCGCACAGCTGTGTTCTTCATGCTTTTGTTGTTGTTGTTGTTTGCCTGACTAAACGAACGCAGTGGGTGCGCTGCGCACTAATACAAATGCAACTGTAGTGCGTGTGCATGTGCGTGTGTGGGGGAATTGTGTATAGTTGTATTTGTAGTTGCAGTTTTTGCTGTTTGTAGTTGCTGCGAAATGGGGTTCATTGCACGTAGCCCCCAAAACCGACCAACTGGCCGACAGATCGACCGAACGACGCAACGCCTGCTCGCCTATACGCCAGTACCAGGCAATTGTTGCTGTCTGTATGTGTGTGTGTGTGTGCGAGTGTTTATTTACACCTGCGAAAATAATAATAGCGCCACTCTCACAAAAAATGTTTTCAAATTTACATCTTTTAAATTTGTAATTTTAAGAAACTTACAAATACATTTTTAGAAGTGGACGGAGACTCTTCACATAAATTGAGAAAGAAAGAAAAAACATAATTAAATTATCCGTTTCTAAGTTATCTATATTTAATTAAAATTAAAATATCAAATTAATTTTTATGAAAAAGCAAGAGAAAATGTAAAAAGACCATTTATTAACTGTGTAATTATGATAGTTAGACATAAATAAACAATTTCTATAAAATGTATAATTAATGAAGTTATTTTTTTCGCTATTCGTAAGCAAAAATGTCCTAGTGGTACTATTATTTTGTCCGCAACTGCATGTAATTTCAGTTGTTGTTTAGACAGCCTGGCTGGGCTGGGCTCTTCGCCTTCTTAGCTCCAACTGCGTCTGCGGGCTGTGCTTTGGCCTCGACGTCGCTGTCCGTTGTTGCTGTTGTTGTTGTTTGCCATCGTCGCGTCGGTCATCGTGCATTTTGCTCTGTTTGCTTGCGTGCATTTTGCTCCGCACTCTTCGCTTTACAGCAGCGAAAAGACCCCATTACGAATTCGATTCGTAATCTAAGCTTTCTAGACGGTGTAGCTTCAAATCGATACCACAAACTATTTTACTTATCTATTACAAAGTAATGCATTTTGTGGTTATATATTCCAAATATAGAAAGTTTACTCTATATACAATTTAATGACGTATTCTAAGATATACACAAATTTTAAAAATCAACATACAAATATATTTTATTTTCTAATTCACAAATTGCATAGCCCTCTGTCTAAACTAAAATAAGATATTGGTGCACTTCTTTTGATGCTGAGCTTTTGCGAAGACAAGTTTGTGCTTAACTTAGAAGCTCCTGCAAACAAGAGCATTACTAGGAAATGAATTACTTTTGTGCAAACAGAATGCATTCGGTAATGAATTTATCATTCTGGTCTTCGCTGCTGGGTGCATTTTGCTGCGCACTCTTCTTCGCCTGTTGGATGGCTGCTCTTTTGTTTCGCATTCGCATTCGCGGAGAGCTACGAGCGCAGAGCGAAAAGAGGCACGAGGAGTTTCGGACTGCGCTTCTAACGCTTCAAGCCGATGCCACCTTCAACAAAAGCGACGAGGCTGTGGCAAACACACACACGCATACAGCTGCAAGTGAGCTGCTCCAACGTCGTCGTTGGCGTCGCTGTTGTTTATCGTTGCCTTTCTTTTGTGCTTGCTTCAATTTTTGTTATGTTCGTTTTTTTTGTTGTTTTGTGTCTGTTATTTTCTTTTAGTTGTTGCTGTTGTTTTTTTTTGCAGCTTTGCCTCTTCCATAAGGTTCGTTTGCTGTTGTTGTTTTATTTTTGTTTCTTTGGTCTTTGTCTGTTTTTGCCTTTGCCTTTGCTCGTCGTCTCGTCTGTGGCACTCTCCCTCTGTCCCGCTCTCTCGCTCTCTCTCTTTCTCCCCCTCCCCTCCCACACCCCTTTAACTCTATCAGCAGCACCTACGACACAGACACAAAACTGACGTCGCTGCTGCTGCTTTTATTATTTCTTTTTTTTTTTTTTGTTTTTGTACATTCTGCCTTGTTCTCTCTTCTCGCTTGCATTTTGTGTATCTCATCTCGTGTGCGCTTTCGCCGTTTTTTGCCGCTGCTTTCCAATCTCTCGGCATCGCTGCGCCCCAACAGCAACAACAATAAGCGTCGCCGTCGTCGTCGTCGCTGGCGTCGTCGTCGTCGTTGCCCCGACGTCGTCATCGTTTTCTCTATTTTCCTCAATCGCTTTTGCCTTTTCATTTTCAATTCGCATATTTTGCAAACTCTACTTTCAGTTATTCGCCGATAATTGATGTCAAAGGACGCAGTTGTGCTCCGCGTCCGCCGCTGCTGTCGACGCCTCTGTCTCCGTCTACGTCGCTATCGCTTCCATTCCCATAATATTCCAATTCCAATTCCATATTCCTCATCCTCCTTCCATCGCCCATCGCCATGCCCAAGGAGGATCCGTTCGTCAATCGCGCTCAGCTGCTGAAGGCCATCAAGAAATATCCAGAGATTTGGGATTCCAATAATAAGCTGCATTTGTGTCGCAGCGTCACATCGCCCATGTGGAACGAGATCGCCGAACAGTTTGGCGGGCATGTGCCTACAGGTGAGTGCAACTGAAATAGCCATACACACTCCCCTCTCTATCTCTCTTTCACTCTCTATGTGTGTGCTTAGCCAAGTTTCTAGCGGGGTTCGCTACAAAAGCTTAGCCTGGCAGCCGGCATCGTTTTTTTTTATTTTTGTTTTGCATTGTCTCGCTTGTTGCTGCTCACTCGCTCTCTTAATCTCTCTCTAGCTTTTGCTCTCCCACTCTTTTCCCGTGTACATGCGTGTGTGTGTGCGCGCATGTGTGCGTGTGTTTTGTTTAAAAATAGATGCATACACGTCAGTTCATAGGTTGTTGGGCTTTCATATTCAGGGCATTTGTATTTGCATATGCAGCCAGCAAGATAATTTCCCTTTTGCTGAATGGGATATTTAGTACAAAAAGTACAGTGAACGCTCGCAAAGTTGATTTTAACATTATATAATGTTATATGTGAAATTAAATGATTTCCAATTTATTCAATATCAATTTAAGTTAGTCAATTTTTTTAATAAACCTGACATTTTATTCAATATAAAAAAAAATTCAATTCAAGTAAAAATAAAATTTAATTATAAATTTCCAAATTTACAAAGGAATATAAAATATAAAATAGATAAAAATAAAAACAGATTTCACATTTATTTTTTTGGGAGCAGCACTCAACCATGTTATGTATCTATTTTTATTAATATTACGTTTATCTATATATATATATATATTATTTATATTGTATATATATTTTTATATATTTTCTTTTTCGATTTCGTTTCGATTTGGCAGTTAAATTACAATCGATTTGGAGTCAGATGAAGTACCACTACCACAATCTGGTGCATCGCCAGATCCTGCACAAGGAGCGCTTCAACACGAAGTGGGAACACTTTGAGCCCATGTCTTTTATGTACAACATAACCGTGGCCAAGATCGTTGGTGCCCAGTCCAATGCCAGCAGCTCGGACAACTCGGCGGCGGCAGCAACTAGTCCAGCAACCAGTGAATCCTCCTCGCCACCGGCGCCACCAGCGCTACCAAGTGCCAGCCATGGACGTGGTCGTCCCAGTGGCAGCTTCAACTGGCTGCAGGCCACGCCCACCCCTACTCCAACTCCAACGAGGCCAGTTGTCACTCAGACCACTGCCACACAGCAGTTGCCACATCTGATTGAGTCGACGGCGGCGTCGCATGGATTGAGTTATACGGCATTCACTGGACTGGTGCCGCCGGCTGCTTGCACCGTGGAGGCAACGACCACGCCCACCGTCCGCAAACTGGGCCGGCCCAGTTCGTTGCACAACAGCATGCGTGGACGCATCATTGATGCCATCAAGGCTCGACCCTCTCTATGGGCGGGGCGACAGCGCTCCGAGAAGGGTCAGGGACAGGGCCAGGGTCAGAGTCGCACGTCCGCCGTTTGGAAGGAGGCCGCCGTTGAAATGGGACTAACGCCAAGTGAGTTTATAGATATATCCCATCTAGATTAAATCCCCACCAATAGTTGTCTCCATTTAGTGATATCCTTACATCTGAAACTGTTGCTTAATTTAATGAACTGCTTAGTTATGTATTGAAAGATATATATTCCATATAGAGGGGACTTGTTCGATCTCCCCGACTGTATCTATGCAAAGCAATCTTTTAGCTGCATTATTATATTGAATTCGTCTAGGTGCAATCAGTATGTGGTACTAGTTCATCGAATATTTAATATTTCCTTGCAGCACTGATGCAGACACGCTGGTCGATCATCAAGCAGCGCTACGTGGACGAGTTGCAGAAGGAGCGGCATGCGCAGTACGCGCAACAAGGATTCAGCTCCAACTGGGAGCACTTTGAGCGTATGTCCTTCATGCGTGCCATGCTGCTGCGCAAGGTGGACGAACGCGAGCAGACCCGCGAGCATATCCAGGAGATGGTCAACGAGCAACAGCAGCAGCAGCAGCAGCAACTGCAACAGCAACATCATCATCATCACCATCATCTGCAGCAGCAGCAGCAACAGCAACATCAGCAGCAGCAGCATTTGCAGATTTATCGTCCGCCGGGATTGGCGGAGCATGCACAGGATATGCCCATTGGACTGGTGCAGCATCAGTTGGCGCATCACGTTGCACATTCAACATTGGCCATGCATCCGCCCCATCATCATCATCCGCATGCCCATCATGCCCATCATCCTCATCATCATCATCAGCAGTTGGGATTGGGTGGCAGGCGACGCGTAAAGCACGAAACGGATCTGGAATGGGATCCCTTCGAGATGATTCTGCATGTGCATGGCAGCGGGGAGCCAGCAGCAAATTGAACCAAGACTGAGTCTACTGCAACCGAGCAAAAGAAAGAGTGGAGGAGAGTAGAGAGCGAAAGAGAGAGAGAGAGAGAGAGAGACAGAGACAGCTTAGGTCTATATATATATATATAAATACGTATAAATATCGCCAGATGTAAAACTAACTACATTTCAATCCAATTTGTATTTCCAATTTTCCACTTTGCAAACGAATAAACATTACATAAAATAAACAGCTGCCACTTTTTTGAATGGGGTGCATTCCAGCAAGCAAATGCGTCGGGCAAAACGCCAACTTTGTTTTCGAAATGATTGACAACTTTGCAGCCATTAAAAGATTTAAAAGAAAAACATTTGAAATCAAATATATATATTATGAAATAAAAGAAAATAAAAGTTGAAATTGTTTAAGAGAAAAGAAAGAAGCTATTTTAAATGGGAGCGCATTCCAAAGAGAGCATGCGTCAAGCAAAACACGAATTTTCTTTAACCGCTTACTTTATGTGGGATATATTCGCAAATAATTCTTAAATTCGTAAATAATTCTTAAATATGATTTCTATATATTCTTAAACATCTTTTGATTAGATTTAGATTTTGCAGGGACTAACTCTTCACTTAAATCTCACTCGGGCGATATAGAGGCGCAAACGATTTGTGGAATGCGTTTGGCATAAATAAATTTATGCTAATTTGGCGCGCAATGTGCGCAACATTTGTCGATTGCCAAAATCAGAGAAACATGTTTCGCCTGTCACCTTGCCACAAACCACGCCCCACCTTCTTGGAATGTGCCACCCTCTCGTGTATGTGTGTGTGTGTGTGGGTGTTTGTGTGTGTGTGTGTTGCACATTCCACTCACCTTTCACAGCGGGTCGTAACTTGTGGAAAATTTCCACTTTTGTGGTTTGAGTTCGAGTTGAGTTTTTAGTTGGCACGCGTAATTCCAATCACGTGCCACACACACACACACACACACACACACACAGTCCCAAAAACTTTTCAAACTGTAAAGCGTTTATCAAAATAAAACCCATCTCCCCCAACCCCCATCCAGCCACATCTCCTCACCAAGAAGGAGCTGCTTTAGCTCCACTTAGGCACTCATCAGGCGCACATAATTGGTTCGCTTGTCAGACGAAGGATTCCACACGATCCGCTACAGCTTCAACTTAATGGCATCGGTGGGTGAGCTGGATAGGAGAGGTGGGTTAGGAGGCGGGTATCAAATAGTAGTCGCAGTATCTTCAATAATAAATGCATTTCACTGTCGAATTTGCCGCATTCTGCACAACACACGTGCCTTAAATAATTCACATCGCATTTAGCGGCGCTCTTTTTTCCTTTCCTCTTTTTTGCCCGAGCTCTAATGGCTCCAGCGATTTGTGGTGCTGCCCAGGGGCGGGTGGCAGTTGGATGTGGGCATGGCAGGCTGCCAGGTAAGTGGAAAGTAGTTGGCTACGTTTTCAGTTCTAGGCGAGAATTTGCCTAAAAACCCCAAAAGTAGTTTTGGCCCCGAAACTTTTATGCTCTGTGCATTTATCAAAGCCAGCCTCCACAGCAAAACACCAAAGCAACATAGATGGATGGTGAGGAGACTGGGGGAGACTGGGGGAGACTGGTGGAAGTAGTAGCTAAAACCGTGTAAAAGTTTCTATTTGGGTGTGTGTGAGATGATGGAGCGGTATTTAAATGGTTTTCGGATGCTTGCGTGAGAAAATGTTAGTAAAACATTACGATTCCTTAAAAATACCAAAGCGATTTGGTTAAACCTGAGCGTGGAACAGGGATTCAAGGTGAACAGTAGCATTGGAGATTGTGGAAATAGCCTCTGTTACATATTATTCAAGTAGCATAAGAGTTAACCTTTATTACATAATATTAACACACATTATAATCTTTAGTAGTATTCTACAATTAAGATTTATTTTCTCAACTGTAGCTCATATTCATGAAAAATGTATAAGCAATTTGGAATAAAGATATGATGCTGATACTATGCTTAAACCCTGTCTGAATATACTACACCGAAGCAGAGAGCAATAGAAATATTGATCAAATAGCAAAAAACTGAAATTGATGCTCATTCGCTCTGATCTGCTCCCTAATTTGTTGCTCTCAGTTGTAGCAATAGCAGAAAGAACGAGAGCAGATCGATAGAAAATTCTTTCTTTATTTTGCTCTTTTGTTTTGCTCGTAGTTGTAACCTAAGCTGCTATTCTTATTATGTGAAGTATTTTTTATGACCTTTTTATGAAAGCGTTTTTAGACACACATTTAAATAAAGTCAACTCTGAAATTACATATGTTTTCTACAAATACAAAAATAATTTTTATAAAACAAATATACTATGAAATCTAAAGAAAATTATTATTATTGTTGAGCGACTTATTCTTAAAGAAATTCTGATACTTATTATTAATGAAATACTCATGCTTATGGAACTATTTCAAATATTCGCTTTTCTTAATTTCTACTTAAGTTAAGACTTTTAAAAGATACAATTTTCTTCTTTTTTAATAGCTGAAAAAAAAAAAACAAAAAAATCAATGAAAAAAGATTTGCTTGGGCTTAGAGTAAATAACTGAGTTGTGGCTGAAAATCGTGTTAAACTTGAATTGAAAAACCATATGAAAAGGTGAGCATGAGAAATAAGCATCCTGTACTTGCTATGTTACTAACATTTCTCTGTGGGTGTGCTAATTGCTTTCAAGCGGAACGTGAGCCAGTGAAAACTTTGCACGATGCCTAAATGCTTGTGTGGGTGGCACTTTCTTTCCGCAGGAAGGCCATAAGCGCACATACATACAACATCATTTCATAAAGCACACACACACACTCACACACAGTCACACACACACACAGTCACACACACTCGCACACACACATGTGATAAGACTGCTTATGTGAATTATCGCACATTTTGTAGTATTGCGAGAGAGAGAAAAATCTTTTGCCTTTGCCACGTGCTTCACGTTTCCCCAAAAAACTAGAAAACTTGTCTAAAAAGTGAGCGCTACTCATATCTCTCAAGCGGACAGACAAACAGCGAGTGCGACAGACAGACAGACAGAGAGACAGAGAGACAGACGGAAGGACGTAGAGACAGACAGACAGCGGCCCATGAAAAACTTTTAAATTTACTTTTGCCAAGAGTTTTTCCGGCAACCTGTGCATACCATGCCCATGCATATTCATTTCAAAAATCAACACACACACAATCACACACACGCACACACTCACGCACACACGCACACACACACACTCGCCAGCCCAAAATTTCTTTTTAAAGTTCACACCAGCCCAAAAACCCTCCAACTTTTGTGCGTTGTTTGGGGTTCGCTTAATAGAGCTTCCAAAAATATGTGTTGTGTGCGTGTTGTGTGCCTGTTGTGTGTGTTTGGTGTGTGTGTGTGTGTGTGTGTGGGTGCCTTGCTCCTGTCAGGTTGCATCGCTTGCTGGCAAATGCCACTACGTTACATGTGCTACAAATTGCTCACTACAAAAGTGACTCAAACTCAAACCACGAAATCCAGCTCCAAATAAACGCAGACGTAGTCATAGCCATAGTCATAGTCATAGTCATAGTCATAGCCAAAGCTGAAGCCAATTCCAATTCCCCCAGCTGCCACACAACAAGCTTCTTCTTCTTCATCTTCTTCATCTTTTTTTTTTCTTTGAGTGTGGGTGGTTATCTAGTATGTCTACTATGAATATGACTATGTATGACTATGTCTGCCTATATCCAACGAGCTGACAACAGTGGAACTTTTTCTAATGCCAAACCACAAGTTGTTAATTGGAGAAGTTTTCCTTAAAAATGCATCCAAAAATAAATGGGACTTATTTAAAGGAATATATATACTTTAAAAATCTTAAAAATCAATAATAATAATTTACTATAATAATAATAATAATAATACAATTCGAATTCCATTTATCTAAAACCCATAATCTATATCAATATTTTATGATTTATATATTATAATATTTTCTTTGGTATTTAACAGTCATAAGGAAGCATTTTCGACAGCATAAAGTATATATATTCTAGACCAGCATCAAAGTTTAAGTCGATTTAGCCACATCCGTCTATCTGTTAGTCTAAACAAACCGATTTCAGAAACTTTAAGAGCTTGTGACTTTAAATTTGGCTTATAAGTACTTGTATATCATATTCTTATTTCATTTTATCGATAATTGCTCACATTCCGCGAATATCGATACAAATCGATTTCAATTATAAATATATATCCTTTCAAATATATCATTAATCAATTGTACAAATTTCAAAGAAAGCAAATTTTGTAAGCTAAAAAATAACTAATAAAAAATAATTTAATAAAATCAGCAAGCAATTTAGAGAGTATCTCTTAGTCGAGCACACTAATTTGTTAAATCCAATACAGTATTATTCACTTTTGTCAAACTGAGACTGCTTTTGGAAGAGTTTTCCCTCAGCAACAACAACTTTTTTATTGGGCCAACCATTCGATAAAAAAAGGACACCAAAAACGCCTGCAGCAGTTGCAAGTTTGTTGGCTGCTTTGGCCATTTGTGCCATCGTGCAACTGACAGCGTCTTGTTGTTATGGGAGTGGGGTGAGCAGAGGGGCAGCTGTAGGAGGGCTGAGGGGTGGGGGGTGCTGCGCATTGGGAAATTGTTTGCTGTAAAATGTTGCGCCACGTATCCTGCAGCAATTCGTAAACTAATTCTACATACGTGCCCATGTCAGTTGGGCCTCCAGCTCACCTCGCTCGTGCCACACGCTCCTGGAGCTGGAGGTGGCGTGTGTGCGTCATGTTTTGATTGCGTTTGCCATCGTCGGCGCTGTGTACAAGGATGGATATGTGTGCCCCCGCCAAGCGGGCTCATTTTTTTGTGTTGCTAATAAATAATTGCATTTTCACCTCAAGAACTCACTGACAGATGGCCACAGGAGTGAGCGAGAGAGAGAGAGGGGGTGGAGAAGAGGTAAGAGTACGGGACACAATTCAATTTGGGCATGTATCCGTTTTGGCAGCAAAGTCAGCTAAGGGGCAAGGGTCGGTGCGGGGAAGGGGCGGAGGGGGATTGTTGCGGGGTTGCCTGCTTTGTAATTCCATTTGTGATTTCATATTTAGCTGTCAGTGTGAAATGATTCAATTTTGCTGATTTTGTTGTGCGGCAAACAATTTACATGTCGAAAATATGAAAAATATCTGTCAAATGCAACTGCAACTGTGCAACCGT